GCGCAAATCTATGTCTAATCAAACGGAATACAGATAACCTCACCCTCAGAGATGCTTCAGTAAGTGTTTTTTTTCCCTCAGACTGGACACCTTCCGGGCCTGGGCACAATTCTTTCCCCTGGTACAGGTCTTTTTCCAGCTCAGGTGGTAGCTAGGAGATTCTTCATGATGGCTCCTCTCTCCCCTTTGTTCTTTTCCACCCCTTTATATATCTTTTGCATAAGGTGGGAACCCTTTGTCCCTCTGGGTTTCCATCCCCCCTTACTGGAAAAGCACCAGGTTAATGATGGATTCCAGGTCAGGTGACATGATCACATGTCACTGCAAGACTTCATTACCCACTTGCCAGCACACGGGAATACAGGAAGACTCACAGGTAAAACACAGCCATCTGCAGACAATGGTCCTGGTTAATGGGAGTCATCAAGATTCCAAACCACCATTAATGGCCCATACTTTGCATAATTACAATAGGCCCTCAGCGTTATATTTCATATTCCTAGTTTCAGATATAAGAGTGGTACATTTATACAAATAGGATGATCACACTCAGTAGATATAAACTTTGTAATGATACCTTACAAGAGACCTTTTGCATGAAGCATATCCCAGTTACATTATATTCACTAATTATCATATTTTTATAAAACCATATAGACTGCACAATGTCACAGTGAGTGTCAACCATACAGCCTAGCCTTCTAAATATCTGTTCTACGCTCCCTTTTGCATTTTCCGACCATGTCGGCACTTCCCTCCTGGCTCTCTATTTGCCCCAGCAGATTCTCTGTTTCCTGTCTTTCCAGCAGTTCATACGATCTAAACATTGGCTGAAGCCTTGTCTTAAATTCCCCAAACGAAACAGCATTACTTTCATAGTTTTCTCCAGGAAATCTAGGAACTGGAGTGCTCCAAAGAAATAAGGCATTGTTGGGGTATCTGCACAAGTGGAAATTGTGTCCTCTGGTTGACCTTCCTCCTGCATTCTCTCCTGACTGACTCATGTTCTTTTAAGATGGTTCACTCCTACTTTGGACTCCTCCTATCCTATTCATGATTCTAATTTGCAGTGAGCCGGATAGGTCAGCTATGCTAACTATGAGGAGAGGCAGAGGCAAACCAAGAGAAAAAGGATAATTTTAAATTTTGAGAACCTGAAAGGGAAACCCCCAAAATTGCACCAGGAGGTTAAATAATATAGAACATTACCAAGTACTTACTTCTGATGTAAGCAGAGTCAGGATGAGCTCTACCCTGACATCTGGTGGTGAATTATGGCGAGTGTGGAAAAGAACTCCAGGGACTGATCTTGTTTGCATAGGCACACCCACTCGCCTGGCATGAAACAACAGCAACTCAAAGTGGTTACTTTGACTGGTGTGGGATCCCCAGTTTTCTCTGTTACTGGGGAAGGAAGAATAAAGTTTTGTTACCCTGATTCTGTGAATCAAGGGCAGTGAAACTGTTGTATGACAGAAGGACTGAGTGAGTCCTTCACCATTACCTAAGTAGCACTTGCTTGACAAGGGGCATGGGTTACAAAACCCAATGAATGGAGAAAGGATGGGCCAGGTATTTGTATCTGATGGTATGGGCCCTCTCTGAGGGGTTGAAACACCAATTGCACTACTGCTTCTCTCCACTGTTGAATATCAGAGCTAGCTTTGATTCCATTAGGAGTCTAG